GCTGAGAGGCTGGGGAACTGGGGGTGGGGCTGGGGAACTTGGGGGAGCTACAGGGTACTTCTCTGCCCTGAGGTTACTGGCTGCTGAGCCCCCTGCCCCGGGGCATCCTCCTGCAGAAACCTCCCTTGAGGACAGCTGGGCCTCTCCTTCTGCTGAGAAGAAATGGGCCCAGGGGCCCAGAGGGGAAGCGAGGAGCTCAAAGTCACATAACAGGAAAGCTGAATGTCTGGACAAGAATCCAGCTGTCCTGACACCTGTGCTGGGTCCCCGGGGGCCTTGCCTCCGCTCTCCATGTGGACCGTCCCAGACAACCTCTTTAAAAAAAAAAAGTGTTCTATAAAGACAGATTTTTTTTTTTCTTGCTAAGAGTAAAACATACTTCCTATAGAAAAGGGAGAACATAGAGAAGAGCATAAAGATGAAAATAATCTGTTACCCACGCAGCCGTAGAGATCGATAGTGCAATTGAACAGATACCATTATGTGTGTTTCGGTAGAAATCAAAATGAAAGTATTTCCTGAGCACTGAGTCCTTGGTGAGAGGCAGTAGGGTGGGAATTAAGAGCACGGACTTAGAACTTTAGCTTTGCCATTGACTCTCTGGATGACAGTGGGCCACCATGGCCCTCTGCCTGCCTCAGTTTCTCCTTTGCGATGGGGATAAGAGTAGCACCCGTCTCTTAGGATTGATGTGAGGAGCGAGGACCTGCGAACCTGTCTGGTCCTTATTTAGGGCTCAAGGTTGATACTATGACTTCTTTATTTCGTTGGTTAGAGTTTTAGCCTGTTTACCTAGAATTACAATTCAGTCTTACCTTCTGGAAGGTCCCTTGTTTCCAAACCCTCATCTCTTTCAACTGAGCTCTTTTCTGGACGGCCACCCTTCCGAGGACCTGTGAGGCGGGAGGGGTGGGGAAGGGCCCTCCACAATACTGTTGCTCGTGCCCGCTGTATTCTTGGGTCCTCACCGGGCGACCCTGGTGGGCTCGGCTCCCCTCGCTGCGTCTGGGTGGGATCACCCCCGTTCTTATTGCTAAAGGCACAGTTGGTGCTTTTCGTACAACTTGGCCCCTAAATGCAAACCATTTTTATCCCACCTGATGTTCAACCCACGGAAACAACAGCGGTGTGTCCCCACCCTGGGGGCAAAGCTGGCTGT